CAGCAGCCGTGGTCGTCCCACACCCCACATGGCAAGAGCTCACTAGCTGGGAGTAACAGCACCGAGAAGACGGGACAAGGCAGCCCTCGCTGGTGGTGGGGACCGCCCGGGGCTGGTGGGTGGGCGGCAGTGCCCGGGACGCGTGGCCACTAGGTGCTCATGCCACCTTCCTCGGCGTTTAAAATGAGCCTTCGTGTTTTTTTCTAATTATAGAAGCACTAAAATGTGTAAATTTGTAAGAATTTCATACTTTTCTGTTTTCCCTCAAATTGTCCGAAATGGGAAGACCAAGCCACCTGTAGGTGCTGCGCCGAGAGCCCAGGGCGTGTTCCTGAGGCGCCCTTCCCGCCTTCCTCCGGGACTGTCCTCACACGCAGCCTCCCAGAAACACTTCCTTTCCTCGGATGCAGAGCTGGGACCGCGCCCCACGTGCGGTCCTGCCACACCTGCTGTTTGATCTCGCACCGTGTCGCAGGCGACTGGCAGCTCAGCAGCACCGTCTGTCCGCTGAACTTAAACAGCGGTCCTCAGTCCGGGCTGCGGACTGGACTCGTTGGACACTCTTAAGAACTGGGGGGCCAGGGCCCCGCCCCCAGCGCCGTGGGCTGGGCTCGCTGGGGTGGGCGAGGGAGCACAGCATCCGTCCCTGCTTCGCAGCTTTCTCTGTGTGGATACAATGTTCTCTTTCTTAATTTCCTGCTGTAGGACATTTGCATGTTTCCGTTCTGTAAATATCGCAATGTAGCAATGACCCTTTTTATACATTCGTCTTTGGGCACTTGGCCTTATTTCCCTAGGATAAATTCCTAGGAAGGACATTGCCAAGTCAGGGGAGTGTCCGCGTAAAATAGCTCGATACATCTGTCCAGCTCCCACTGTGAGCCACGTGCTGTCCTGGGTGCTAGTTATGCAGCGGTGACTCCATGGACCTGGCTGCTGCAAGTGTGGGGTCCCTGGACAAAGGGGAGAGCGGGAAGGCTGACCGCAGGCGAGGAAAAGCGAATAAGTAAACTGAATGGCAGGAAGGTCCTGGGAGAGAGGGGAGAGGCCTGCCTTCATGGAGAGGCGGGGAAGGGGACCAGAGTCTGCTTCTCCCGGTGTGCATGATGTGCCCGAACCCTCACCGACTCTGGGTGTTGGCGATGTCTTCATTTTTTTTGACAATCTGAAAGGTAAAGAGATTGTATTCATCCCTGGAGTTTCTTTTATCACCAGTGATACTGAGCATCTTTTGCTTTTCACGTTTGGGGTGTTTCTTTCGTGAGTTGCCGGCACCTGCCCCTGACCCCACTTCTTACTGGGATGTTTGCTGTCCCGTTTTTCTTCGCTGTTTCAAATTTCTAAAGGCTTCTCCCTGAACAGGCCTCCACACAAGATATCATTTGTCTTGTAATGTTGCTTGATTTTGTTTCGTTTGGGGCTTTTTTCTTTTGTACGGATGTGTTTAATTTTCATGTGGTCAGATTCATCGATACGTTTGTTTCCGGTGGTTTCCTGGGCTGGTGTCGCATTACGGGAGCCCTTTCCAGGCCCGGGGAATGATAATTCTGCACATCTGCATCTGCACTTTCTTCTTCTACTTCTGTGGTTTCGCCTTTTATACGGCAAATTTCAATCGATCTGGACAAACGTTTGGCTGAGAATGAGAAAGCCTTCCTCCTGTGAATCCTGCACTTTCTTAAACCGAGCACTTTCCGGCCGTTTCTAAATTTAAAATGTATTCCTACTATGTGCTGCTTGTTTTTGTTGACCTGCGCTTAATGGGATCTTTTCATCCGCGGTGGCTCACACTGGTTATTGCTGGTGAGGAGAAAATCCTTGCTTCAGAGCTATTCGCCCTGCCATAGCTTTTGAGTTGCCATTTTTGGGCTTCCTAGGGGTCCGGCACGTCACCTGCAGAGCGGGGCACGCTGGCTGCCTCACGATGCCCGTGCTCCACCTCCTCCTTGTTGCGGTGCCTGGAGCCGGACCGTGCCGGGCGCGTGCGTGGCTGGCTCCATAGTGCTGATGGGGCCGCAAGGCCAAGTGTCCGTCTAGCCCCGGCTGACCGAGTCTTTTCCCAGGGGGGTGTGGGCTTGAGTTTCGTTAGGCGCCTTTTTCCTTCTCTCCTGACCCTGAAAAGAGGGGGCAGCAGGGGTGTGGCAGTGGCTCTGTGTGGCCAAGACTCAGCCCCTCCCCGCAGAACGCAGGGCCTTAGTGGCCAGAATCCTGGTGGCTGCTGACCTGGGGTCCTCCGCCAGCGGTAAGGACAGTGCAGAGGCCCTGGAGCGGGGCTGGGGGTTTGGGCTCGAGTTGGGTAGGAGGCGTGTGGTCCAGTCTGCACCGCACGCTCACTCCGTGGCTCCCAGGTGGAGCGCGG